CCGTCGTCGTCGTCCTCCTCCTCCTCCTCCTCCTCATCCCTCCTTTCTCGTCGTCCCCTCCGTCCTGCCCTCCTTTTCCTCTTCGCCTTCGTCGTCGGCCTACTCTTCGTCCTCGTACTCGTCGTCGTCGTCGTCGTCGTCGTCTTCCTCCTCCTGCTCCTCGCCCTGCTCCTCCTCCCCTCCTCCGCGGCAGCAAGCAATGGATTGTCAATGAACGTGTTCAGACACAGCCCCGCCGCAGGCGCCGATGTGGTGTTGTAAAGTCAACGTGGGCCCGATCGGGGGAATGACACGAGGGCGCATTCCGAAACCACTGCGAGCAAGCACGCCGCAGGCGCCGATTTGCGTGCTCTGACAAGTTCACCGCGGGGAGGGGATCGCTGGTGGGCCACCCGGAACGGATGCAAAAACAGCCCGCCGCAGACACCGATTTTTTGGTTTGTTTAGTGAACGTAGTTTGGGTCGCGGGTGGGTCGCGGGCTCTCCACCTCCACCTGGAAGGATTCAAAAACAGCCCGCCGCGGTTCTCCACCTGGAACGAACGCGAAAGAAGCCCACCGCAAGCGCCGAAGTTTTGGCTGATTCAATGAAAATAGTTTGGGTCGCGGGTGGGCCACGGGCTTCCCCCCTCCACCTGGACGGATTCAAAAACAGCCCGCCGCAGGCGCCGAAAATTTTGATTTGTACACTGAACGCGGTTTGGGTCGCGGGTGGGTCGCACGTTCTCTACCTGAAACTAATGCAAAAGAATCCTGCCGCAGGCGCCGAAAATTTTGGGTGGGTCGCGGGGTGGGTCGCGGGTGGGTCGCGGGTGGATCGCGGTGGGTCGCGGGTGGGTCGCGGGCGCGGTTTGGGTCGCGGGGTGGGTCGCAGGTTTTCCACCTGGAACGAATGCAAAAGAAACCCGCCGCATGCGCCGAACATTTTGGGTGGGTCGCGGGGTGGGTCGCGGGGTGGGTCGCGGGTGGGTCGCGGGGTCGCGGTGGGTCTCGGGTGGGTCGCGGGTGGGTCGCGGGTGGGTCGCGGGCGCGGTTTGGGTCGCGGGTGGGTCGCAGGTTCTCCACCTGGAACGAATGCAAAAAAACCCGCCGCAGGCGCCGAAAATTTTGGGTGGGTCGCGGGGTGGGTCGCGGGTGGGTCGCGGGTGGGTCGCGGGTGGGTCGCGGGTGGGTCGCGGGTGGGTCGCGGGGTGGGTCGCGGGTTGGTCGCGGGTGGGTCGCGGGTGGGTCGCGGGTGGGTCGCCAGGGAGGTCTCGGGGTGGGTCGCGGGTGGGTCGCGGGGTGGGTCGCGGGTGGGTCGCCAGGGGGGTCTCGGGGTGGGTCGCGGGCGGGTGGGTCGCGGGCGGGTCGCTGGTTGGCCGTGTGTTGGGTCGCGGGTGGGTCGCGGGGCCGGTCGCGGTGGGACGACGACAACAACAAACAACAAACAACAAACAACAAACAACAAACAACAAACAACAAACAACAAGCAACAACAACAACAACAACAACAACAATCATTTAAGACTGGGGACACTCCGTTCTCACCAGTGCCAGGGTTTTCATAGGAGGCGGGCAATACCCCCACTTTGTGGGGGGGCCGGTTCAAGCTCTACCAAATTTCCATACGACTCTTCGCCACCACCCACACCCAGCTTCCCGCCCTATGACGTTCGGACACTTCACTTCGTGGCATGCGGACGACCGTGGCTACTATTCAGGGCCCCGCGGCCGACGACGACGGCGTGCGCGCGCGAAGAAAAAACGAATGTGTCCCGCATGGTATTATTTGACAGGGATGATGGCCCTGGCAGGTGCGCAACCGTTGTTGCAGAAGTTCGAAAAAGTTGCTCGCAAAAGCCCGTTTGACAGAAATGTTTAAAAAGTGTTGGGTTTCCTACGAATCCGCAAGAGCGCGCGGGATGAAATTTTGACATTTTTTTTTTGAAAAACCATTGTTTTTTTTGATGTTTTTATGTTAAAATCGCTACGAAAACTAAGGTTTTGGAAGGATTTCGTCTTGCGCGCGCGAATGTCCACTTTACCTTATTTTTTGCAAGGGATTCTTGAAGTTTGGTTATGTTAGAACAAGAAATGTCCACTTTAGCTTATTTTTTGCAAGGGAAAACCGATCGTAACAACACAACCGGATCCGGACCAACCCGTTTTGCCTGAGACTTCCTCACGAAAATTATGAAAATGAGGCTGCGGCCTAGGCGCGGCGGGGGGGTCGTGCACCAGGGGTCCCAACAATAATTATTCTTAAGAAGAAATAATGTTCAACAACAACAACAACAGCAACAACAACAACAACAGCAACAACAACAGCAGCAACAACAAGAGTCCGCATCGCGGAATTCCACTTCAGCCACGCGCCCAGGGACAGTGAATGACCGTTCGGTTCAGCCCCCTCACTCTGATGAAACCTCTGGGCCGCGAAACAGCTTCCACGATCGCCGCAAGCGCTCGCTCCTGATGGGGGCCGGCGGAATGGCGCAAGCCGCTTGAGTAACAAGGGCTGCAGCGCTAACTGCCTGGACGACCCGCCACTAACAGTAGCAAGTACGACAAACCTACTGTCGAACAGCCACGAGGCATGCCTGAGCATAGTAGGCGATATCATAGGAAGAGAGAACGCGGGACAAACATAACAAAGCACACGACTTGTATGAATTCCTGCCAATGTTTATCCTGTCATGGAGCCGTCTTCGCCTCGTCCGAGGAGAACTGGAATGGGCGGGCGGTGAACGCGAAGCGTCTTGAATAACAGGGGCTGCAGCGCTAACTGCCTTGACGAACCGCCTCCGAACAACACCAGCGGCCCATCCAAGTCTAGCCGCCACTCTCCTCAAAGCTCAACCCTCCCCCGCCGGTCGGCTCCCTCTACCAAGTGCCAACTTCAAGTGAACACAACCATGCTCACGAACTGACCGAACGCGGCTGCATCGGACGTTTGATCCCTCCTCGTCGGGCGCGCGACAATGAAAAATGCCCACCCGCCAACCCGAAGACGACAAGGACGTTCCCGCACACGCAGCCCAGACTCTTTGAAAACCCGAAAGGTTGCGTGTCAAGCTGGAATACGATTGCCGAGTTGCAATCTTTAGCAGCCAGGCGCTCTCCGACCGACAATACATGGAGTGGGCCCCACACGCATGTAGCATCAGCGCCAAAGGCGCAGAGCAGGGGTGGCGCAGAACGCGTCGCGTGCATGCCATGGTGCCATATCACTCTCCTCCCGCCGCGTTCCCCTTGCCTCCGCTCTCGACGGCGGGAGCGTTGTCTGACGAGACACGCCAGGCCACCCCTTGAGCTTCGGCGAGACCGCGACGAAGACGGCGCGGCAGGGTCCCCCCCCGTCTTCTCCCCAACACGTCACCCTTCTCCGCCCCCCCTTCCTTCCCCCTGCTCTGCCCAACCGCCCCCGTCGCGCCCTCCCCCCCCATTCCCCTCCCCTCCTCCCTCCTTCCCTGACCCTTCCTGCCCTCCTAACGGGGCTGCCGCCTCCCATCCACGGGGTTAGCGCGGGAAAAGGCTCAGGGGGAACGCATCAAACTCCAATCGCCGACTCATCGCCGATAAAGGCCTGATTGCCCACCCCGCCGTGGAACGTCTGGTCTCGCTACCTGGGGCCAATCGCCAATGTATCGGCGATGTATCACCGATTCGAGCTCGATGCTCCGGCAGCCGCTCGAGACGATTCTGGCACCCATGGAACGCTCTCGGCGAGGCGCAGCCGTTGGATGGCATCCCAAGGCTTGGAAGCCGCCGAGAGACCAACGAAGACGTTCGAGAGCCTCGAGCCTCGCCTCCCCCTGCGCCTATATCCCCCCCTAACGTTTCCCCTGATGGGCCAGGGTGGGCTCATTGGAGGTGTCTGGGGGCTGATGATGATGATGATGAGGAGGAGGAGGAGGAGGAGGAAGAGGAGGAGGAGGAGGAGGAGGAGGTGGAGGAGGGCTGAGCTGGCCTCCCCCCTGAGCTGGCCTCCCCCTGAGCAGACCTGCCCCCCATCGTTCTCCCTATCGTCAGGTCGGGCATGTCCCCCTTCGGGCGGATGCTGGAAGACAGTTACCAAATTATCCCAGTGCGACCCTACCTAGGAGTTGGAATCCCTAGGAAAGCAGCATTAGTAGTAACAGTAACGCAAAGCCAAAGTTAAGCTAAAGCTAAGCTAAAGCTAAGCTAAAGCTAAGCTAAATCTAAGCTAAAGCTAAGCTAAAGCTAAGCTAAAGCTAAAGCTAAGCTAAAGCTAAACCAAAGCTGAGAAACAGCTAAGCTAAAGCTAAGCTACAGCTAAGCTACATATAAGCCAAAGCTAAGCTAAATCTAAGCTAAAGCTAAGCTAAAGCTAAGCTAAAGCTAAGCTAAATCTAAGCTAAAGCTAAGCTAAAGCTAAGCTACAGCTAAGCTCAAGCTAAGCTCAAGCTAAGCTAAAGCTAAGCGACAATCTAAGCGAAACGCTAAGCTAAAGCTAAGCTACAGCTAAGCTAAAGCTAAGCTAAATCTACGCTAAATCTAAGCTAAAGCTAAGCTAAAGCTAAGCTAAATCTAAGCTAAAGCTAAAGCTAAAGCTAAAGCTCCCAGGGGACTCGGGGGAACCGCTCCCAGGGGACCGGGGGAACCGCCCGGGGCGCTTTCCACTGCCCTGCCCCTTTAAGCTAAGAGAGTAAGAACCATCCTAGGCAGAGCCTAGGTAGGGAAATAGCCGACACATGCTCAAACACATACCCACAAAGAGCACGACACATCGTCACCATACGATTTGTTTTACCATTCTCGAGTATTCCTCCTGTCGGGGGACACGCCCGACCTAACCCCATCGTTGGCCTCCACCCCGTGATCTGGCCGCCGTCCTCCTCCCCGTCCTCCTCCTCGTCCTCATCCTCCTCGTCGTCCTCCTCCTCCTCCACCTACTGCTCCTCCTCCTCCTCCTCCTCCTCCTCCTCCTCCTTCTCCTCCTCCTCCCCTGATCTGGCCGCGCCCCCCTGTCGTTCTCCCCCCCCCTCCCCGCGCCGCCAGCCGTGCGGGCGCTCGGCGCCCCGCGGCGCCGCAGCTCCCTCCTCGGGGGGGCCGCGCCCTGGCGCGCATGCGAGGAGTGAGGGGGGGGGGGGGGGGGGAAGGGGAGGGTGGGAGGAGAGGAGAGGAGAGGAGAGGAGAGGACGGAGCGGAGAGGAGAGGAGAGGAGAGGAGAGGAGAGGAAGGAGGGAGGGAGGGAGGGAGGAGGGAGAGGGGGGGGGGGAGGAGAAGGGAGGGAGGGGGGAGAAGGAGGAGAAGGAGGAGGGGGGGGAGAGCCAGGGCGGGTGCCGGGTGCCAGGTGCCCGGGTGCCCAGTGCCCTGTAGCCCTGTAGCCCTATAGCCCTATAGTAGCCTTATAGCCCTATAGCCCTATAGCCCTATAATAGCCTTATGGCCCTATAGCCCAATAGCCCTATAGCCCCAAACAAATTCTGATTGGGTTTTTTCTCCGGTATCATGTGAAGCTTTTGCACTTTGCTTCAACGAGTGTGCGCGGCGCTGAAGCGAACACATTTTGAAAATGACCCGCCCTCAATCCGTGAAGCTTTTGCACATGTTTAAAACGAATGTGCGCGGCGCTACGGCGAGAACCACATCTTGAAAACGACCTGCCCTCAATCCGTGAAGCTCTTGCAAACGTTCAAAAAAAATGTGCGCGGCGCTGAGGCGATAACCACATTTCGAAAACGACCCGTTCACAATCCTTGAAGCCCTTGTACACTTCAGGGACAAATGCGCTCAGGCGAGAGCCACATTTTGAAAACGGCCCGCCCTCAATCTATGATGCACTTGCAAAGTTTTAAAACGAGTGTGCGCGGCGCTACGGCGAGAGCCACATCATGAAAACGACACGCCCTCCATCTGCGAAACTGTTGCCAAGTCTTAAGCTTCAGGGTCATAAATGGTGAAGAAGTCTCTGGCGAAATGCCCGGCCTACCCTTCCGACTGGCATCGGGGTGCGACACGGAGGAGTTACTTATAAGGAAAAGGAGCGTAGGATGATGATGAGGAAGGAAGATGAGGAGGAGGCCGAGGGCCGAGGAGGAGGAGGAGGAGGAGGGATGAGGAGTGGTGGGGAGGAAGAGGGGATGATGATGATGATGATGATGAGGAGGAGGAGGAGGAGGTGGAGGAGGAGCAGGAGAAGGAGGAGGAGGAGGAGCAGGAGGAGGAGGAGGAGGAGGAGGAGAGGAGTAGGAGGAGGAGGAGGGAGGAGGAGGAGGACGAGGAGGAGGAGGAGACGGAGGACAGGTTCGGCGGGGACTCTACATCTTCGAACCCATTCGCCAATTGTTCAGTCCCAGGAACAAGCATGGTAAGGAAGTCTCAAGCGAAACGCCCGGCCCACCCTTTCGACTGGCATCGGAGTGCGACACGGAGGAGTTATTTATCAGGAGAAGGAGCGGAGGATGATGATGAGGAAGGAGGAGGAGGACGAGGAGGAGGAGGAGGAGGAGGAGGAGGAGGAGGGGTAGAAGAGGGGGGAAGTGAGGAGGAGGAGGAAGAGGAGGAGGCAGGGAGGGATGGAGGGAGGGGGGAGGGAGGGAGGGCGGGAGGGAGGAGGAGGAGGAGGAGCGCCCATCGCCGCGGCCTTGCGGCAACCGCGGCGGAAGGCAGCGTGCAAATCTGTAACTGCGCGTCCCTCGACCGGTGGACTTGTTGCCACCGGAGAGAGGCGGCGCGCGGGCGTTCCTCCCGACGCGCTTCCCGCTGGGAGAATACGCCGATCCGCGCCGCGGTCCGTGGCCGCCGCCTCCGACCCAGACAGCAATCAATCTAGGCGTTGTTCCTCCGTCCCTCCCTCCCTCCCTCAACCCTCCCCCTTCCCTCCTCCTCCCCCTCTCCCTCCTCCCTCCTCCTCCTCCTCCTCCTCCTCCTCCTCCTCCTCCTCCTTCTCCTCCCTCCCTCTCCTCCCTCCCTCCCTCCCTCCCACCCTCCCACCCACCCACCATCACTCCTCCTCCACCTCCTGCTACTCCTCCTTCTCCTTCTCCTCCTCCTCCTCCTCCTCTCCTCCTCCTCCTCCTCCTCCCCCTCCTCCCCCTCCTCTCCCCTCCCCTCCCCTCCCGTTTTCTAGCCGCGGCGAGCCCAGGCAACGAATAGGCTCCCCGCCCCAGGTCTGCGGAGTGGAGCGAAAGCCACAGCGACTCCTGAGCCCAAAGCGGTCCTTCTTTCAGCGTCTTGGCTGTAGAGCTCTCATGGCCGCGTCCACTTGGCAACGTTGCTAACTTGCGGCAGCACCCGTGCTGGCAGGCATGTTGTGTGACCCCTCTCGGGAGCCCTCGGGGGAGCCCGAGGGAGCCCAACGGGGCTGATGAGACCCCGCGTTGGGCCCGTGACAACAGAGCCCTTGTGACGCGAACAAGATGGACGGCGGCACACCACGCCGCCGTGCCTGCATCAATCACATGCTATTTCTGTGTTGCTCCTCGCTGCTTTATAGGCTCCCGGATGGGTCATCGATCGCATTCGCGTTTTGCCTCCTCGTGCACGTGCGCATGGTGTGCGGGCGCCGCGCGGCAGACATGTGGGCCCATGCCCGACGAAGGGGGCTACGAGCTCCGAAAACGCGTGGCACACACACACACACACACCAGACACCAGACGGCGTCTTGACCTGTGCACCGTAAGCATGTACCGTCGCGCAGTTTGTCTTCAATGCGCCCCAGTGGACGGCGCCGACGCCACGGCAGACCCACGACAAGCCCTGCGCGCCGCGCCCCAGGTAGACGCAGCCGGCACCGCGGCAAGCCCAACGGCACACGCACCGCGTCCGAGGCGGCGTCTGCCCAAGTGGGCGCGGTGCCCTCCCTGGGGCAGTGCAAAGGGGGGTCACCACTAGGGGGGTCGCCACTTCCTCGAGGAAACGTCACTTCCTCGAAACTTCCTCGAGGAACTGGGCCCCCCAGAGCCCCAAAACCGCAAAGAAACGTCCAAGAACATCCTCGACCCCTCGACTCTCCATCCTGGAACCTCGATTTCCAGGAGAAGCTGGCGACCCCCCCAGTGGTGACCCCCCTTGGCACTGCCTGACTCCCCAGGAGAGCCCAGAGTCGAATCGAGAAGTCGGATCGGCGATCGACACGAACCAGAGCGGCGGAAATTGCGAGAGCCGGGCCGGGAGAAGTCGCATGGGCGGAGATCGGCAGGCCAGGAAGCCTCCGTGAAGAACACCGAATCCAGATCGGAATCCGAAGCCATCGAAAATCGAAAACCAGATCGGGCAGGGAGAAGTCGCATCGGCGGAGATCTCGAAGCCAGTAAGCCTCCATGAAGAAAACCGAATCCAGATCGGAGTCCAGATCGGAATCTGAAGCCAGTAAGCCTCCATGAAGAAAACCGAATCGAAAATCGAATCGGCAGCCATCGAAATCGAAACGTCGCACCGAATCGGGGGAATCGAAAGGGAGCCCCCTGCCTCCCCACGGCGGCAGGCCCCTCGTCGGAGCAGACGGCGCGGCGACATGCATCGGGCTCGTCAAGGGCCTCACGACCTCTGCCGTCCCTCGACCCGCGCTGGAACGGCCACGACCTGCTCAGACTCTACTTGGAGATCTCTGGATTCACCCGGATGCGCCCAGATTTGCCTGGGCCTGCCTCGATGCACCTGCACCTGCCTGGAGACTTCTCTGGCCCGAGCCCCACGAGCTGCTTGGCCAAAAAACGGCGTCGAGCCCCTGAGGGACGGGCGCAGCCGCCGACCCGCGGTCCACGCGCGAGGCGCGTCCGCCAGGAGATCTGGGGAAACATCATGGCCCCCGCCATGAGATCCCCCCCCCCCCCCGGTCGTCCACCCCCCCTCTTGGCCGCCCCCGACTGAAGACTTGTTTAGGATCTGCAGAGCGAGAGCGAGCGTCTTCCGCCACAAGCTCCGCGGGGCGCGCACAGCTTTAATTGAAACCCCCGATTTACGACAAGAGGGCGCCGACGTCGGGGGGACTCCGACGTCGGGAGGGCGATGGCGACGCCACCCGGCCACCCGGATCTCCCCGCCACCTGGGGCGCGGCAGCCCGCGATAGCCGCGGGGGGGGGGCGGCTGGCGGCCCGCCCCGCGGCGCGCGGACCTCAGATGCCCTCGCCGTGGCCCGCCTCCGGGGCGGCGCCCGCGCCGCCGCCTCGGAGGCCGGGGAGACCTCGACGACGAAGGCGAAGATGACGGCGAGGAGGAGGAGGAGGAGGAGAAGGAGGAGGAGCAGGAGGAGGAGGAGGAGGGGGAGGAGAAGGACGAGGAGGAGGAGGAAGGGGAGGAGGAGCAGGAGAGGCAGGAGGAGCAGGAGGAGCAGGAGGAGGAGAATGACCAGTGTAAACGCAAGACTCGCCAACGATGTTGAGATACACCCTCCGTCCATGATCTCTCTTCATAGGCCCCTACAAGGGGTCATTTCCACTGAGGGAGTGCCCCGTTGGGGAACAACCGTGTGAACATCTTGACGAGTGCCAGAGCACCATTCTCGGCACTTTAACGCCACGAATTAGCCTGACTGTTACGTCTTGGCGATCCTGAACCGTGCCAGAACAACATTCCTGGGATGTCAGCACCGTGAATCAACACAATTATTTTAAAACGTAGCTTCTTATACGTGAACCATGAAAGTCAGTGAAACTCTTTTCGCAAGGAGCCACCATCAATCCGTGAAACTCTTGCAATTGCATAGAATGTATGTAGGCGGCGCTGGGGCGAGAACCACATTTCGAAAACCAGCCGCCGTCAATCCGTGAAACCCTTGCACATGCTTAAAATGAATCTACGCGGCGCGAAGGCGAGACCCACATCTTGAACACCACCCGCCCTCAATCCGTGAAACTCTTGCACATGCTTAAAACGAATGCGCGCGGCGCGAAGGCGAGACCCACATCTTGAACACCACCCGCCCTCAATCCGTGAAACCCTTGCACATGCTTAAGACGAATGCGCGCGGCGCGAATGCGAGACCCACAATTTGAAAACCACCCGCCCTCGATCCGTCACGCTCTTGCCGGTTTTAACACCGAATGCGCGTGGCGCTAGGGCGAGAGCCACAGTTGTTTGGCAGCGACCCGCCCTCCATTTGCGAAGCTATGTTTTATTTTTTAGCATCGCGGTCACGAGTGGTACAGAAATGTTCGGAGAAACGCCCGGCCCGGCCTTTCGACCGGCCTCGGGGCGCGACAGGGAGGAGTTATCTATAAGGGGAAGGGGGAGGCAGGAGGGAGGAGGATGGAAGACATCGTAGTTTGCCGCAGGCGAGAGCGACGGCGACAACGACGATGAGCAAGACAACGGAAAGAGAAACGGAGACGAAGACGGAGACGACGACGAGGCGACGGCGACGGCGAGAGCGAAGGCACAGGCGAAGGCGACGCCAACGCCGACGCTGTCGACGCCGTCGGCGACGTCGACGACGACGACCACGACGACGACGACGAAAGCGACGACGACGATGACGACAACGATGACCACGACGACAGCGACGACGACGACGACGTCGACGGGGTCGGGACTTCCAGGGGCCAGCCATCGAACAAAAGCAAGACAGCAGATGCATCGGCGGGCTCCGCCCACGCAGTGAATCTGCGAAGTCTTCCGCCTCATGCCTCGGCATCCGAACCTGGATCAGGTCGGAGGGTTTGGCGCGCGAGACCGAGGCGAGACGGTTCGGGCAAGCTCGTCGACCAATTGTCCCGTCGTCGTCGTCGTCGGCGTCGTCGTCGTCGTCAGCGTCATCGTGGTCAGCGTCGTCGTCGACGTCGTCGACGTCGTTGTCACCGCCGTCGTCGTCGACGACGTCTAAGTCGTCGGCGTCGTCGTCGTCAACGTCGTCGGCGCTATCGCCATCATCGTCGTCGTCGTCGCAGTCTCTGCCGTCGTCGTCGTCGTCGTCGTCGACGAAGTCGTCGGCGAAGTCGTCGTCGTCGTGGTCGTCGAGGTATGCGACGACGACGGCGTCGGCGTCGGCGTCAGCGGCGGCGTCGGCGTCGTCGTCATCGTCGTCGCCATCGTCGTCGTTATCGTCGTCGTCGTTATCGTTAACGTCGTCATCGTCGTCGACATCGTCGGCGTCGCTGTTGTCGTCGTCGTCGTCGTCGGCAGCGACGTCGGCGTAGCAGTCGTCACCGTCGTCGCCGTCATCGCCGTGGTCGCTGTCGTCGTCGTCATCGTCATCGTCGTCGGCGAAGTCGTCGTCGTCGCGTCGTCGTCGTCGTCGTCACCGTCGCCATCGTCGGCGTCGTCGTCGACGACGTCGACGGATTCGACTTCGGCGTCGGCGTCGGCGACGTCGTCATCGTCGTCATCGTCGTCGTCGTCGGCATCGGCGTCGTCGTCGTCGTCGTCGCCACCGTCGTCGTCGTCGACATCGTCGCGTCGTCGTCGTCGTCACCGTCACCGTCGTCACCGTCGTCGTCGTGGTCGTCGTCGTCGTCATGGTCGTCGTCGTCCTCGTCGTCGTCGTCGTCGTCCGTCGTCGTATTCGTAGTCGTCCTCGTTGTTGGTCGTCGCCGTCGTTGCCATCGGCAACCTCACCGTCGCTGTCGTTGTCGTCGTCGACGACGTCGACGTCGTCGGCGTCGTCGTCGTCATGGTCGTCGTCGTCGTTATCGCCGTCGTCGTCGTCGTCGCAGTCGCTGCCGTCGTCGTCGTCGTCGTCGTCGG